TGTAAATGTATACTATCTTTATTATCTTATACAAGTTTTACTGGTTTTAATATTGTGAATACTGCATAGTAGTTGTAGGAAGGCGTTACTTTTGCTAACTAGTTCCTACGTAAATTTTAAGGAAAGTGAAATCTTAAAAATAATAATATATTTATAGGAACGTGTGGCTTTCATTTATTTTATATCAATTCATGTTTTACCATGTAAATTATTTATTAAAATCACTTGAATACTTTTTAAAAAAAATACAATCATTTAATATTTTAAATTTAGTATAATTAATTTTACTTGCTTGTTATACATATATTTCACATATTATAATATTATATTAGAGAAAATAATTCTTCTATTTTCTATATTTTTTTTTTGTAAAGTTTTTAACGTATTTTTCATATTAAATAAAATGTTTACGTCTAGAACAAGTTATAGGTACAGCAGTAGATATTGCTTATTATACTATGATAATTTAATGTAAAATATAAATCGACAAAAAAAAATGCAAGTGTTAATTAAAATAATGAAATTAGGAATTTTTAATGTCCTATATCCTATAATTATACACATATAGTCAAATGTCTTCGCAGGAATTTAATGTTACGTTTATTTTGTGTTCCACTTTACTGTTCTACATTTTCTGATTCGATACATATACCGATATACTTACTCATTTTGTTCTCCAACCAACAGTCCAGACACTGTTTTCAAATTGTAACAATGAATCGTTATTGAACTATTAATAACAGTTAGTATATTTTAGGTCAAAGTGAAAAACCTATAACTAATATATTTTGTATCTAATAAAATGAGCAGCATACATATATACCTACTGTACACTGTACACTACACACATATGGTATATAGTATATATGTTCACAGTACACACGTTACAAACACAGTAGGTACAATATAATACAATAGTATAGGTCATTTAAAAATATTTTACCATCAAACAAGGATTTGCAAAAAGTGTTTGAATGATAATTATTTACTTAAATTTATGGATCATATATTATACAAAAAATATTCTTAAAATAATATGTTATTGGAGTTATTACCATCAACCATTATATAAGTTTAAATATAACGAAAAATTGAAAATGATCATATGTAAAACTTGTAGAAACTTAACAATATTATTCATTTATAATTCATCTATAGATTTTTAATAAAAGCATTTGTGAAATGATGAAAACAATTTTAATGGTATTTTGCATTTACGTAACAAACCTTCAACATGAATAGAAGTCACGATTTTATTCATATAATGTAGGTACATTGGGTGTTTTGCATAGTGAATTATCTATTAATAGTTTACATTTATCTTAAAAGAATTATATTTATACATCTTAAACATATCGAATAAAGTGTTGGTTTTTTAATTCACTTACAAAAAATGTTAATTAAATTTCTATTTTGCGATTTATATCGTTTACTTATGCATATTATGAGTTGGTAGGTATATTATCAATTATCATATTGAAATACGAACAGCAGCTGATATAATAATATATATTATCCAATCACCTAATAATCAAAACATTAAAAATCCAAACAGGATAAATATCCCAGTATTTGGTACTCAGTTCATTCTACTATTCTTTACTCAGCAGGATAATAGTTTATTAATGAATAATAATATGGGCATAATGCTATATTGAAAAAACTACATGGAACACTCATTTTTTCTTGAAAGGTAGTCACATAGCCTAACCTAACCTCACATAGAAGAACAACAGTGACACCGAAATTTTTAAAATGTGGTCGGGCAATTTCAAAACTTCGTGGCCTCAATATCATAATTATTTAATATAGAGGTACCCCAATAATTATACATTTACTTATAATCATGGCTTAAATATAGGTACTTATATATAAAATATATATACTATGTTCATAATAAAGTTTGGTGTAACGTGGCCTGCCTCATAAGTAAAGGATAAGCAATCTGGTTCTTTAAGTTATTTTATAATAGATAGGTAGGTACTTTTACTACAAAATTGTGTGCAGATCTCGTATAAATAGGTTATATTATAACCTGTTAATATACATTATACATGTAGATACCGATATGTTGTTATTATTATTATTGCAATTTTAAAATATTTACATATTTATTGGAAGAAGAATAACTTAAAAATGAATTACCAATTAGTATAATTTATATTGCCTACTACTGAGTACCTAATATATTCTAAACTTATAATTAATTTAAAAACATTTTATCACTACAAAACAGTGCTCGAAGTGGGAGGGGGATAAGGGATGTATCCCTCTACTTTTTTTATTAGATGAAGAATATAAGAATGTTATGATGATATCAGGAAATCTGAATTGTAAGTCTTCCTCCACTTATCTGGAGCCATTTCGACCACTGCTATAAAATTTTGATAAATTATAATAACATGTATTCATATAATAAGCTGTTATTCATGTGTATAATGTATACACTATATACTAAAATAGAAAAAATACATATATGTATACATTAGGTTTATATATTTGTACAATAGTAGATGGGTAATATGTAATTGTATGATTTAATCACATAGATATAACTAAAAAAATACGTAAATAATGTTGAAATACTTTGATATATTTTACGTAAACATCAATATCTTGTTGCATATTTCATGTGCATCCCAATAATTAGCGATACTACAGTAAATATATACTTTGCTGTATGACAATTTTTTGAAATATAATTCTACTTTCGTTAGATGTTTTTAGAAAAAAAACGCTCATGTATTGCACTAATAATTAATAATAATTGTTTATTCAATGAATAAAACGGGCAAATTGCCCAATAGTACAAGTAAATAAATAAGTTATTACAATAAATTGATACGGAAATCGTACAATAGCATAAATTCATATTAATAGCTAGAAATATAAACTAAAATGAAAACGATTGCACAAATAAAATATTACATATTATTAATAAAGTAAGTTTTAAGAATTGAGGCTAACGAAGTAAAGATGCAATCAATATTAGGTGTAAGTATTAGGTACACAGGGTCATGGCTCTAAGAATAGGGGAGTTTTTTAAATAATTTGTGCTATGTGATGGTGAGTAGAAAATGGGAGTGGTTCGATTATTATATGCAGGGATATTGAATGAAATGTGTACTAATAGGTAAGGCGCATCAATATATGGTTATTGATTAGTTTATATAAAAAAGAAATAGCAGCTAAATCCCGTCTGGAGGCTAGAGAGGGAAGATTCAGAAGTGATCTTAAATACCTATATTACTTACAAAATAATTATCTTATGACGTTTTATATTATCATAATAATTATTAGTTAATACCTATTGGTACTATTTAGTCATCAATTCGCTTGTATTAATATATGATATAATTACAATAATACATATTAAGAATATTGATATGTGGTTTATATAAAATATTATAAAAAAGTATAAAAGTAAGTAATTAATGCAAAAAAACAATTATCGTATTACCTACACCAGTTAATTTATTATAAATAAAAAAATAAAAATATATAATTTTAAGTTTGTCATAAATATTTAATTTTGCTATAGAATATAATTGCTTATTATGTTTATCGTTATGATTTTTTAGAAAGTATTTGAATTTCATAATTTGAAGATTTTGATCTAATATTTAACCAATAGTTATTATTTATAAGTATTTTAACTTTTAATTATTGGAAATTCAAATAAATAGTTGTAAAGCGGCACCATAATAACATAATAATTACGCTTTAAGGCCCAAAAGCGCAACTTAGCCCCCCCCCCCCAAATTTTTTTTAATTTTTATAGCCTCCCCCTCAAAAAATAAATAAATTATTCAAATGATTACTAAAATATTAATAACCATTTAAAATTCACCTGTATTTCTTTTTTTTTTTTTTTGGAAAGTTTTTAAAGTTTATAACTATTTGATACCTTTCTACAAATCGTGGCTAATATACCAGAGTCCTATAGTCATATTTTACATGATACACGTTTTTATCTTTCGTATTATGTACGCACTGGTTAATTGGAGATTGAAAGTAATAATCTGTTACGGGGACACATATGTAATAATTTGTAATAATATGTTATTTTTCCAGTTCCCCGTTACAGACCCATAAATCCATTCCCCGCCGGCTTGAAAACTGATAAGCTTTCAATCACCAATAGCATCAGTAGGTCATACGTTCCTCAATAAATGTGAACGGAAAAATGAAATGGCTGTCTTCAAAAATTCATTCTTTAATAATGACAAAACAACTTATTTTAATCTCATTCAAGAAAATTTAACCAAAAACGTTTTCCCAAATTTCTACAATTTGGTTCAAGTGGCCAATATATTGCCAATTTCTTCTGCAACATCAGAATGTGCATTTTCTGCCACGAGGCGAATAAATACCTACTTGAAATCTACATTGGATCAAGATTGCTTTAGTACTGAGTATTGAAAAATATGTAAATATTGATCCTGACATAATTTTAGAGCAATTTACAGCCTTTAATAACTATTTTATGACGCATATAAATATAATTAAAAGTAAACGTTGGTATTTAAATTTTAAGATGGGGTGGGGGTAACCTTTGGTATAATATTGTGGTGGGACTTTAGTCCCCCCTAAGATTTTGTGCTATTTGAGCCACTTGCTGTACCTATAGAGTATATAGGTAGTATACTACTACTACTTTACTTATCATATAATTACCATAACTTTAAAAGCTTACAAATAAAAACGATTCGATCTACTTCGTATTTAGAAAAAAGTAAAAACCCAAAAAATGTACCATGATAAAATTATAAATTAATATATATAATTAATATAATATATTATTATTATATATATTATATCCCTAAATTCTGGGTATAATTGGTCTCAACCAGTTTGTATAATTATATAAAAAATTATAAATAATAACAATTAATATTAATGTGTATTTTTTTTGTATTCCAGGTTAGCAAGAGTACCATTCGAATGAAGTAAATTTTTTTATTTTAAACGGTCTTATAATTACAAGGCTATCAATAACCATGACAGAAATAAAAAGAGTCAACTCATCCACTCTTAAGAGATATAGGTTGGTAAAAAAAACCCTAGTATAGCTTACATGAATTCCAATAGATCCATTTAAGTGTCTACACCCATTATTTAAAAAAGTTAAATGTATATATTTTTTTGCAAAATATTCTTATTATATAATTTTATGTTAATAAAAAAATATTTATGAAAAAAATAATATTTTTTATCGTTTTAATATTTAAGTTTTTACTTTTTTGAAAGACACGATACCTTTTATTTCATATTCCGAAGCAGAATATTATTTGGAGTATTTCAATTTATGAAAAATACAATTTTGGAGAAGTGGTTCATTAGTTATAAGTATTAAAAGTTTAGATTAGTGGACAACATTTTGCAGGGACCTACCCCTATACCACTCTACTCTGCTCATCAAAACTTTAAAATGTTTGTAAATAACGAACTAATTGTCTGTAATTTGATCTTTGTGGATTTAAATACTCCACATAATATTCTGCTGCAGAATATAAAATAAAAAATGTAGGGTATCATTCAAAAAAGTAAAAACTTAAAAGTTATAGCGATAAAAAATAGTAAAATTTTAATTATTTTCCAGAAATGTTGTTTTGAAATGACATCAAATATGTAAAAAAAAAGTTTCAAAAAAGTAGAAACTTTATGAAATAATGGGTGTAGTCATGTAAATGATTACCCTGTTTAATATTATAAAATGATTAACCTTTATTGCTTGTTTATTTCTAGGTCGAATTCTATGGGAAATTCAGTTGCTTATGCAGGATTATTACTCATCGAGTTAATTCTTTTGGCTTTAAAATTCATTTATACTACTGTTGAGTCCATTATACGAACATTTTTACCGCCATTAGAAAAATCACTAAAAGACGAAGTTATATTAGTAAGTTGTTTAATAAATAGTATAATATTGTTAAGTATAGGTGCATTAGTGTTATATGTAAGATATGCATAATATAAGAGCACACGTTCTAATTAATGTTATAATTGCTTTTAAACTTGATAATTAGTATAGGTAGAAACCAGCCACCAGGTATTGAGTGTAATTGTAAAAAAATAAAAAAATATAAAACCAGAATGATTGTGAAGTTTAACTTCATAATATATCAGTTAGGTACTTACATCTTTATTTTTTTTTAGAAATCAAGTTTCAGTGTTTCACAAGACTTACATACTTCTATTGAAGACGTCTTATATTATACTATTTCAAAAACCTTAGCATATAAATTATACAGTCTTACCAACAATTCCTTTCTAGTGAAATAAATTTATTTAAAGACCTTACAAAACCACTGTACTTACAAGCGCATATTGAATTATAATAACATTGCCATAAGGTAGGTCATGTATTTACCGATTTTTGGCACCACATAAATTGCATATAATTACACTCTTCATTATTATAGTTTTAATAACCGGTTTGATATTATTGATATTTACCAAAAATATTATGATAGGAAAATTTATCATGAAAAAAAAATCAATCAATTTTTTATTTTAAAATACATTTTACAGTCCTATTAATGTTAATATGTTATTATTTATAGCTGGAATACATAAATAAATATAAAACACTATTTTATAATTAATAGGTATTTGCACTATACGTCGTATTAATTTTTTCTAGATAACTGGTGCTGGTCATGGTATTGGTCGAGAATTGGCATTATTGTTTGCCATACAAAATGCAATTATTGTATGCTGGGATTTAGACGAAAAAGGAAATAATGAAACTAAACACATTCTTAAGATTAAAGGTTACAAACGTGTTTACACTTACAAGTGAGTACAATTTTACATTCACCCATGACCCATCTATATAAAATTATTACAAATTCATGCATTACGTTTTATGTACCTGCATGTAGTTTATATTATAATTTTATTTATAATCTTAGTATTAAGTGTTATAAGTGCTATAAATATTCTGGAGTGCAGTGCAGGTCTAAAAATTATGGCCCTGAGGCATAACATAATATTAATATATTATAGAGCCCATAATAAGTTACCAAAAAACAAAAAAATCATGTATTCATTTGTTATGAACATTTCTATTTTCAATAAATTTTAATAAGATATTGATATATTATAGAATTATATGAGGTAAAATATGTAGTTTTTTTTCTAAAAGGTCGCATTCTCGTTCATTTTAGTTTTTTTAGAGCCTTTATTTCGGAAACTAAAACCCTATAATTATTATTTTCTTTGATTTTTTTTTAAAGAAACAATTACTCATTGTTAAGGAGATTTTAACTAATCATTAATCACATATACTAATACACTAATAAGTTCTTCTTTTGGAATTGAAGCTATTAAAACAAGAGTTGAAAAAACCGGGCTTTTCAATTTTTTTCACATAAAACCCCAAAAAAAACCCTAAAGTAATAATGGGCGGTTTTAAACGGGTTTTCCTGAAAAAACCCATCCGAAAAATAAAAATTTTTCCCATGTATTAGGTGCACAATTTTTACCTTATCACCTTATCTCCGTTATTGAAAAATGCTTAATATAGGTAGGTATGTTGGCCCCACCAAAAACTGTATGATAGTATGATAATATGTCAGATATTGACATTCGGACATTTTCCCATTGTTATTGACTTTAGTTAATATTGACTTTAGTAGTATTTCGTAACTTTAATGGAATTTTCAATTTTTTGTTTGTCTTTTTATTGTTGAATAATTATATTTGATAAATTATTATTTATAAGTCATGTTACCAGTTATTGGTAGTGGGTCGTAAAGCGGATTATGATAATGACGGAATTTTAATCCTGCATATTTAATATTTATTGATAGTTAATTTTTTTTTAATAAAAGTGCTTATCAAAATAAATAATAGGTACCTATAAGTAAAACTTTTTTGAAAATAAAACAAGTGAAAAAAAATTGCTAGTTAATTTCTATTTCATCCAGAAAGGCGGCATAGGTTTTTTCAAGGGTTTTTCTTGATATTGAGTGGGTTTAACCCAGAAAAGTAGCCCGGGTTTTTTTTTTCCAGCTGGGCTTTTTCATGCCAACCCCGTTAAAAACACACACATATGCATAGAAGAGGACCAAATATGTACTAAAAAACATACAAAGCACTAACACAAATAATAATGGTGGCTGAATTATTGAAATTTTTATTTTATCATTATTTGTATAATTAATTGTTCTTTTTTAGTATTACTATTATTACTTATATATAGTATACTATTTCCAATCAATGTCATCTGGACCTTTAGTAAAAATAAAATTATAAGAAATTAGTGATTTTCGAGATAGTATTGGCAGTGCAGAGGAGAGCAAAGCTTTATTTCTCAGAATAGTTATTAAAAGCTTTAAAAAAACCTAGATAATGCGTAAAAATGCTCAAATAAGCAAAAACCTCAGAGGCTCAGAATATGAAAAATTATACGAAATAAAATTTTGGATTTAGAATTTCGAAACAGGATCCTTATATTGATCATTCTCCAAACAAACAAGCAAATGATATATAAATCAGTTATCACTCATCAGTAAAGTTACAAAAATTATAAGTACAATTGAAATACAAGTGTAATATAAAAGAATACAATTTTTTTTTAAAGAAAATTAAAAACTAATAAAAAAATTTGCTCTGAAAACTTATCGGCAAATATTTTATTCAGTAATTTATTTAACATTTAATTTTGCCCTAGCTCAGATTGTTAGAGAAAATGTGGCATTGGTGCCTATACTAAAAAGTTATCAACATTAGACATTTTAACAAAATCATACATTTATATGTAGTATATGTAATACATGGTTTAAATATACAAGGTTATTGTAATAGTACCCCAACTATATCATTTTACCACGTTAAGGAATTAAAATGGCACTGAAAGGGGACGACCTATACTGGCTATACTATGATATAATCTAAGATATGGACAGCTGTACCCTTAAACTGCCATTTTATTTTTATTTTATTATACAATAGAGACTATGTGAAATAACCTTGTATATTTAACCCATGGTTTTATACATAACAAAAATATAAAAATAATATAATGGAGTTATTACAAAATAATATTATAATATTTTAATTTTGAGCTAACATTTTTACACAATTCATATAATTATATGACTCACTATATTTCTTGCAGGAAGTGCACAATGCGTTTTAATTATTTAACTTTTGGTGCTATTATCTTAGTTGTTGATGTTTAAATTCTAAATTGCGTTTTTAATTTATTTAAAATGTAAAAAATTAACTTATTCTAAATAATAATTATAAATTTGGAAAAATAAATCGTTTAAAAATAATTTATGTGCCTATGAATTAGTAATTTATATATAATTGAATAATTTTTTTTTGGTACTTAAATTTTCCTTGTTAAACCAGTTTACTTACATATATTTAAACATAATTTGCGTTTAAAACCTTTTTTTAAATATTCTTTGAAATTATTCGTTGATTGTAAAAATATGATAATATATGTAATCTACCTATTTCTATCTACCTAAAAATATAATACAATGTAGGAAAATGTGGGAAATAAGTCAATAAATACAATTTTTTAACTTATAGCATTGTCTTCAAAATTCAAATATAGGTACCTATTTACTCGTTTTTTTTAACGAAGAAATAATAGTAGGTACCTATTAAATTTCGTAATTTATGACGTAACAGACATTTTAATAAATTTAATAATAGATAATTTTAAAATTCTTTGATATGTTTAATTACAAAGTAGATCTTGGATGTTGATGATTTGTTAAATTAATATAAAATATTAACAGTATGTAGAATTATCTTTGTTTAGTGTGAACCATAATTGTTTGAAATATAATTAGTAATATTATTGCATAATAACTACATAAATCAAGGCGAGGGGCTTATAAATTATATATAATTATATGAAATGTATAGTTATTTTATATATATTGAATCGTAAAGAGTATAATAATTAATAACAAATGATGTTAACCTAGCAAAAATTCACTAATGACATTGACCTAGGTCCTGATTTACGTATTCATCTCATGTTAAATTGCTCAAGATGTGTTTTGACTGAACAGCAGTATTTACAATTTTGTTTCTACCGATATTTCAGATAGGAAAGCAAGTTTTTGACGTAGAATATTATAATTCTAACTGTTTGAATTAGAGAGAGTCTTTGTAGTATAAAAACATACTGGGACTTTAAAGTAGCATGTGCCATGTACAATCAAAACTATGTAAAACTTTTTTTTATTTTTTGTTTAAACTTTTTATTAAAAACTTTCTTAAAAATCCAAATATTATAGCTTTTTGTTTTACACGAATGAACAATGATCATACAAATAAATACAAATGACATATCAAAATCGTTTAGTAATAGTAATATTTTCATCGTGTTTCATTAACACAAATGAAAAATTAAATTACGTAATATTGTATTAAATATAGTTGTAAAAATAATAAATTGCATCAATGCCACAGGCCACAAGTAGTATTGTAGTAATATGCAAAATGTATGATGAACTGTAACTTTGTACGGTCCATTGTTTAAAATGCATAACACGGACACTTTGTACTATTGCAATAGTTTATTACTGTATAAAAAAACTAATTCATAATTAATTTACTGTAAATAACAATGATGAATGAAATACAATATTAAATACTTTTTATTGTTTGCTTAAGTCACAATATAATAAAAATTACCATGAAAATATTAATTTCCAACTTTTTTTTTTTTTGGACCAGTGTGTATTGTACTATCATAAGTCTACACAAAGTATAAATCAGTTTTTTTTTAAATTTACAGGTTAAGTAACAACCAAACATAATAGGTGCTAACATATATTTATAAATTATAACTATGTACTAATGTATAAATACTTAAATGACATTTTATAAGCGCAAAATCCAAATTCTATTTTATAACTCCAGCAATCACCCTCCAGTGGACATATATGGTACATAAACAACACTATAAAGTGAAAGTAAAAGTATCTGCAACACAAACTTAACTAGCTATTCCAACTGGTTCTATAGAATGGCAGAATACCTATGTATATATAATGATTCTTGTGAATTCCGTTTATTATTTCAGACCGTCAATTACCTACTTTAAAAGGAAATTTAATTAATACATTATATCTATTTTGTATGAATCTGCAGCCTACAGGTACACCAAATACCTACCAATTATATATGACACAAACAATTAATAAATAATATATTTGAAATTGTATAACAACTCACGAAGAAAACATTAATTCTAATATGAATGAGATAATCTCCATCAAATATATTACTTAAGTTAATGCTGTGAAATGTATATATATATATATACTAGCTGATCCGTTGCACTTCGTCGCCCGTTAAATGGATCAACTCAATACTACCTACTCAAACTTTGTTCAATTCATTAACGTGTATGGTGTCCAAAATTTATCTTATCTTTCCCGTTGCCCTGAATAAAAATTCTGAATCGCAGCAGTACATTATCAGGTAGGCAATCTACCTGCGGTAGATCGCGGACCCCGTGCTGTTTGTACGGAAGTGTATGATTTAACTCTAAAGTATCAAAGTAATACCAAGTTTATTTTGATGTAATACTGTGGATTAATATAATAAATTTGGTTGCTCGTAAAAAATCGCAACTCTTAAAAAAATTATGATTGTTGAACTCCTTTTGGGTGTAATTTTCTGCGGTAAGTGCAACTCTGCCACCCTGGTAAGCATTGTTCAATAATTCGATTTGATGCAAGCTTGTACCTGATCTGCCCGAATAACCAATGGCAACCAATAAATAAATGCTAATTTCTAATGTAGACTGTAACCAATGGCAACTATAAATAAATAAAAATAAAATTTCCAATTTCTATCGTGAATCTCAATGTCCCTGTCAACCATTAAAATGTTTGGCAACTTAGTGCACGTCTTATATATAATGATCTGTATCCATATTTCAGCACGTCAATTACTGGGCGTTTAATAATACATTACTTTTTTGTACGAATTGCCAGTTACAGGCCACACACCAAACCTACCACACTATGTGACACAAACATTTAATAATATATTGATTGTATAAAACTCCCGAGAAACATTAATTTAACCTAGGAACTCACAAACACAAGAACATGCCTGACATGTATATTTTTTAATATAATGAGTACATACCTGTAGGTACATATTGTATATTATATAAGTACATAATAACGCTAGGACTAACCATGAATACTTATTTATTTTGGTGGATGTAGTTGAAAGTTTTATTTATGACGAAATAACCAAGTAAAGAATATATACTTTTTCATTTTGTTGTGTTTTTAAATGATAAAGTGGCAAATAATTATACCAAGATCTTTTTGTAGCTTTAGAAGTTAGAACATACACTTTTAAAGATTTGCACGTTTTTGTTACAACTATATTTACTATCATTCTTTAGTTAGATAATATGCTGCTATATCTTTACAGGTATATCTTGAGCCACGCTCCTACGTTATAAATTTTCTGCATATTAAAATGTTTGTTACATAAGAATTTAACTGTTTATCTTATACAGGTACCATACATATAATATGTAACTCTAAATGTATGTAAATTACTATTAATGTATCAACCTACGACCTACCTCATGTATAATGATATACACAACAATGTAATATTTCAGTTTATTTATTGCTTCTAAGTGGGATAATAATATAATAATATATGATAAATAAAATAGTATATTAAAGATATCGCTACATAGGTACCTAACACGAAATTTACAAGTTTAATATCTGATCGGATATTTTACCTATATATTAGTATTGATATTAATTGATATCTGGATTTACTATTATTTATGTTTTTGCAGAGTAGATGTGTCTAATAGACAGGAAGTTTTAGATGCTGCAGCCTTAGTTAAACAGGAAGTCGGTAGCGTATCGGTACTAGTAAACAATGCTGGAATTATGCCATGCAGACCGTTGTTTTCTCAAAGCCACGAAGTAATTGAAAAAATATTCAACGTCAACGTTTTAGCTCATTTTTGGGTAAATTCAATGCTGAAAATAAATTGTATACCTACTTAACCAATACATTAATATCTTAAATGTATAAACTTAAAAATTGTATTAGGCTCTGGAAGCATTCTTGCCAAGCATGATTGAAAATAACCATGGCCATGTAATTGCTTTGTCTTCAATGTGCGGTGTCATCGGACTCCCAAATGTTGTTCCATATTGCGCATCGAAATTCGCCGTAAGAGGTAATATTAAATATAGTTTATCAATTCAAATATGGTTTTAAATCTGTCAAGAAGTTCCATCACTGGATGGATTCTTCTTTCAAGCCTCCAACCCATCAACTCCCACAGAGCTTGTACTTATTGTGAAAAAATAAATTTTAAAATTGTATAAATAAATTAATAATGTAACAAAATAAAACAAAAATATGGTTTTACAAATCCAGTTACTCAAGATTTATTATCGTGAAATACGAATATGATAAATATCATGTGTATTTAATGAACTCTCTCTTTTTTCTCGAATAAAAAATTTGAAATCATTTGAGTTTTCAGTGGTATTCAAGGTAGTCAAGAACCAAGGTCGTAAAGAAATGAGAGTAATTCGATGAGATGCTTTTTTTATGTAATAAAATAGCGTACATATATCTTATATTTTATTTTAATATATATAACATATACCTATATTATAAGTTCTTATGAAGTCATTAAAGTGTAAATTTTATGAAGATATTTACTATGGGTTTCTAATTTCAAGTTACAAGTTCTATAAACCAATATTAAATTATAAAAAATAATAATGTAAACCATTGTAGTTAGGTATATTATGAAGTATTAATATTTCGATAGTATAACTAATTTATTCCAGGAACGCTCGATTTTACGCTATAACATGATAGTGTAACTCTAAATCAGTAAAATTTCAATTATAATATACAATATTTTTGTAAAAATTGTCAATTTTAAGATTATGTATTGTACTGATAGATTAAATAATTATACATTAAATTAATTAAATTATAGATTCCAAGCATCAAAAATATACTTCAAAAATAAACTAAGTAAATATACGCCCGTACGCATATTTATTAATCATAGAAAAAAAGTTATAGTATGGTTTAAAAAAAACGTTTAGGTACAGCCGAAATAAATTTATTTACACATCTTATTGTGATTTGTTGTGTGCTCAATTTATGATTTAATATTTACCTATATGTGTAAAAAATATTATAATTTAAGCGTTGATAAAATTTACATAGATAATTCGCAAATACAAAACGCTGTTTCTTTAATAATATTTATGTATTCAACATTGGTTTAATAATGTTTTAAATAAATAACGTATGATTTCACAAAACAAAATAATATGATAGATGTAACGTGGGTGGTAGGTAAGTGTGATGTAGGCAGATTGTATATTGCATACATATTACAATGTCAGTACGACTAAGAGCTGTTTGCACAATAGTAATAAAAGTATAAAAACCATTTAAATTCTTACTAAATTTTATTTTCAAACAGTAGGTTGTAGGCATATAATATACTATATTCCTACAACATTTAGTTCTACACTGTTTTATTAACGATGCGTAACAATAAGTAGGTAATAGCTAGTTCTTAGAATATGATATTATGTTGTTATTCTTAAATAGATATTGTATAATATACATTTACATGTGCTTCGTAAAAAAAGGTTATTGAATAAATTTTATCTAGAAATTATTTTATAGTACCTACCTACCATAATAATAATATAATATATATTGCTTGGGTATTATTCATTCTGCATTGCAAAATGCAATGTGTAACTGCGTAGTTTTAAAACGACTGTAGTTACATTGTACATAATATGATAAAAATATATATTCAGTCAAATATTATACTTAGGTATATATTATAAAGTTATTATTTTCAATATTGTTATTGACACATTAAACATGATAGCCTATCTGGTTTTGCAGGACTCATGGAAGCCTTATACGAAGAGTTAAGAGTTGGAGATACGAAAAACAATAAATCTGAAATCAAATTCACTACAGTTTACCCGATTATGGTTAATACAGGACTAGTTAAGAAACCTAGAAATCGATTCCCATTCTTGCTGGACATGCAATCGCCTGAAAAAGTAGCCAATATCATTGTAAAGTCGATGAGACGTAACTACAAAGAAGTCAGTATACCGTGGATGTTGATGCCTCTTGACCGGATATCCAGGTACCTATAAATTATTATACAGTACTTATTATTATAAAGTATGGTATGTACTAAATTGTATAATATATCGATCCCTACCACTTTAAATTAGTGAATGTTGGTGGGGACTGGGGAGTACCCAGTTTCGATGTGAAACTCTCTATAGATACACTGCGTATAATACTGTATATTATATAAACTGAACAAATAAAAAAAAATTATTATACTTACACGAGATGTTTACATCTTACCGTGATTATCTTAATACATTCACACCCACTGTCGATACTCATCTACCATTTTCTAGTTTAAACTTTAAAAACTACAGAACCATTTATAGTATAATAAATATTTAATGAAAATTAATTTATCTACTTTGAAAATCATTATTTTATTTTTTCCCAAGTAAATTGGCTATTTTAGATTTTTAACTTTTTAAGTACTTACCTAACACGACGAATTGTAATTCATTTTATTTTAATATGTTCGGTCAATAAGTAGGTACTTAAAATTGCAATTTAATCATAATATAACTCAATTTGTGGATCTTTAATGCAAAATTATTGATTTAAAATTTAAATACAAGTTGTGGACATGATAAATAACACCCTGCAGGCTGCAGGTAATTCTGACTCCTGCTGTACCTATACTGCTGTACGTCTAAGTGGTGCAACAATTTATAAAGTAACCTTTTGTATAATGGAAATAGGATTACACGATATAGACGTGTCATTAGAACTTTTTTGTAAATTCTATACATAATTTAATATAAATGATAATGTGTCCATATGTGTGATGTAAATAGTAACTATAATTTATGTTTGATTTTATAGACTGTTACCCGGAAAATTCATTCAGAACGTTAAAGATTTCATCGACACTGGCTTGGACCCACACACAGATGAATAAATATTATAGATACCAGTCATCGTTTCTTTGTTGACGTAATTGGTTTTATTATACAGCTTTTGATAATATTTGTTAAAAAGACTTGACATAATATATTGTTTTTTAATATTCGTTTTTATGTAATGATGTCCGAATTCCCAACAGTAATTATATTAATTGTATTTTAAGGTATTTTTGGTGGTGTATAATTTATACCATATTATTATTCTTCATGCTTGTTATAATTATGTAATTTTGTAAATAATTTGTTGTACAATAAATATAAGATGTAACTTTGATATTATAATTATATTTTTTGAGTAAAATAATTTATTTTTAAATAATATACAACCGAAATGATTTATAATCGATATGTGTGTAAAGAATTTATTAGGCTAACGGAAATTGATTGCATCTATATAGCTATAAATTATTATGCATTGTTTGAATTTTATATTATTATCATTGTTCAACTGTAAACTGCCAACCAGTAGGTATGTGCGAGAACGGAGAGAGTAGTTATCACAGTTGAGAAGGACAATATGAAATCATAATATTGTCAACTTTCATGGAAAGTATATAATATAATAAATTAATAAGTTATAGAAGGTTCGATAAATGTCGTTTGAATGATTTATCTTACATCAGTTATCACTTATCAGGTGCAGTGAGGATTTTTGGATTAAGTATAATATGGCTCAACGAATTCTGTGCAGCATGCCAGCATAATATTATGTTTTATTGATTAGAAAACCAAACACGGATGACGGATATTGGTTTAATATAATATAATATTATGTTAAGCTGAGCGCTGATTACCCATAGTTTTTTCTAATGCAATGATTCATCTCATCCGACATATTGTGTTGAACGAAAATACATGCACTGACGCACTACAAATGTATAGGCCACCTGTCGCTTCTGCTTTTGTGTGTGTGAATAATATCAAAAACCGCAGACATTAAACGTCAGCCCCCGTAGCTCGTACTTTTTGCATGTAAGAACGTGACAAAAGTAGGTATACTTATTGATAAATAAAATAATAATTTGTAGAAGAATCGCGTGTACAATAGTTTTTTTTAATAATTTCTACCTGCATACTCATAAAATATTATAGGTACTGGTCGATTATATGTAGTCTATAGTGTTAATGTTAAACCATCGACACAACACATATACGTGCTCTATCGCCTCGCCTCTATTGGCGTGTAATGCCTTAGTCTCGTCGGCTGTTAAATACCTAATCGTATGTGCAATGTGCAGATTATAAATTAAAACCCGAAAATGTGCCGTTGCGTTCTTAATTTTAAATCGTGTTATTTCATACAGTAAGATTTTTCCGTATAGTTATTTAAAAAATAAAATCAGTTATAATATATCTATATACGTGTGTCTGTTATTTATCACTTATCGGGTTAAACGGTGTTCGACTGCATTAAGGTGTTTATGTAATGCATAAAAAATGTAATTAAAATGTTGTTAATTATATTTTCTAGTTTATACAACAAAGCTTTAACCGTATAGTTTAAAATAAGAATACGAAATGTATAGGTAGGACCGAGTTTGGTCAATTGATTTTTTTATATTTTTATCTTGGCGCTCATTAACTCATACACATAATATTATTACAATAATTCAAACACTTGCGTCTCGAACTCATACATATAGACATATTATGGTAATGGTTCAACCAACGTCGCTAAGCACTCCGGCGTGCCGCTGTTGTGCCGATAACTCTTTCGCTCAAATCTCTTTCTCGACAATAGTAAATTGAATAATATATTTTTTTATATTATTATTAAATAATTAATTATTATATTGATATTATGCTGGTCACTCGTACCAGTCGCACATCCTAGTGTCCAACGCATGCACCATAACAGTACCTAACCGGTTTATTTGGTGCTAATAGATTTCCGTGTCGTTCACTATCGGTGGATCACTCGAACGTGATAAATATGACTGTATATATGAGCGCCTACGCATGTTGCATGAAAAATACTATAAACAGTAATATAAATAGTAAACGCATAACATGTTTTATACATTAAGATTTGAATTATTTAAAAAAAAAAACAAATCATGATGTTCTGCGGATTGAAGGTACTGCTTAAAGTATTATTATTACCGATAGTAGTTACCAGTAGTTAATATTATATATGTATTATGTATATATAACTTATACTTTCGAGAGTAATTATATTTTAAGCACCTCCATCGCTTCAGAAGTGCAAACCATCGGAGGTCGTATGTCTGCACACCGGCATCAGTTCCTATATAGTACACCTGACCCGAGTCTGGTCGTAATGTATTGTGCATTTAAAGGACGCTACACTATTACGAAAATTATACAGTCTATCCGCCTCTCTGACGGACAACGTGGTATATATGTTGCAGGAAAAATATATAATTATTATTTATCTGATTAGCATACATAGAGGTATGTGTCAGTTTTTTATGTCAACATTTTGGTTTCAATGCTAGTCGTCTCGTATTATTGGTTGAATGATGTGTATGACTACTGTACAAAAAGTACGGCGTACGCTCTATAAATTTGTATTCTTATTTTCGTATCTTATTGATGGTGCGTACATTGCGAATATTTCTTTTAAATTTGGTACGAAGACAATATTGTAACGAAATCAAGCGTCGTTAGAACTTAAAAACATAATTACATGTTCGTGGCGATCGTTATTCAATGTATTCCAATCGGCAATCAGGGTTGTTATGTTTAAAACATTTCTCTCGAACGTTTTGTTCATTGTTTAAAACGAATAAAACATACCTATGTTTAAAACAGTTAAAATCCAAGTGCATATTGTGTTTTTTTTTGTTTATTGAATAAATTACCAAATTTAAAAAGTTTTTACTTCATAGTTAATATGTACAATGTACATAGTACAATGTCCACATAAAACAACCAATTAGAAAATATTTAAAATACATTTCAAATACTTTTCAGATTTAGAATAAGTAATAAATTAACAGTGAAACATATACTAGTACACGGCACATTGGCATATAAGTAAATTACATATTAATTAAAATTAAGTTATTTTGAATATACTATTTAAAACTCAAACAATTTATTTTGTTTGAAACATCGTTTAAAAACAGTTAAAACAAAAATACAGTTTTATTCAAAAATGAAAAAATACACCAACTTTGATTCGAATGTATATTTATTGTAGACACCGCTTTTAAGACTCACTTATTGGGACCACTCATAGGACCTTATAGACTATATGTGAGTATGTGACCACTGGACCAGCACAAAGTGAGTCTTCTAACCACATGAACCTTATATTCGTGATTATTATAACCAGCATCCTCTACTCCTCTATATATATTATAATATATTGCTAGAAATTAATTAATATACCTTATATATTGGATATAATTCGCAATACGTATATTGTTTATAGATTATAGGTATACAGGCGTGGTGAACTTAAAATTGTTCAGAGGCTAGACTAATATTATGTCACCCACTATGCAGCCAATTACCCGACAATGGAATTCTGCACTGTCATATTAATTGTTTCTATAATTGACATTATTAAAACGGGCGCTTGTAAATTGCGCCCACATTAAGCAGGTACCTAATAAAAATACTATAGTAAATTGCGTCCGGGATTTTTTGGTTTCTAAAATAGGTATAGTAAATTGCGTCCGGGATTTTTCGAGGTCTAAAATGAGTATAGTAAATTTCGCCCATAGTATTTAAGTGACCTTGAATTCTTTGTTACCTATTATGTGTATTTTAAATAATATACTGTTGTTCATTTTTTGGCGGATAAGCCGAACGTGTATCGCTATAATCGTTATAATATTAGAGATATCATTGCCTTTACGCGTATACAACGACTTTTGGTATAGTTAATATTTTAGTAAGCCGTTTGAGTGCAACATTAAAACATGGATATTATACATACTGGATTTAGCCAGAAAGAAAATGGTGTTATATAATCTACCAAACTTATAAATTTTCAAAATTAAAACCTGAGTATTGTCTTCGGGTGAAACAAAGTGGCGATGTAGTGTAAAAATGTGTATTGAGTCGCTAAATGACAATCATAAAAATAATATTTCTATTGGGTGCAATTATTACTACACAGAAATTTATACCTGAAAAATACAGGGTGCAATTTACAATTATTGTTTCCCTTCCTTGGGCGCAATTTACGTTTGTCCATTATACCCATCACACCGCCCCTTAAGAAATGCAGAGGCGGCCACCTCACATCGATTACCCTCCTTGCCACGTCGGCGGATCGTGAGAGTATAGGATAGAAGCCATTTGCAGTGGTAACGGCAGTCAGAAATTCTATTGTATTAGAGGCTGCAAAGGGTATTTTTGAGGAAATATTGTTATAAAAAAATTAAAAAATACTCAGCCGATTTCGAATAGAAATAGAGGTTTGGATGCTTAATAGATTGAACCAGTCATTATTATTAGGGTGGCTTACCCGGTATACCGATAATATTAAAACCGTAACCGCTCAATCGTTTATTTCTGCTTGCAATTTATTGATTCACAGGTAAAGGAAAAAAGTTACTTATTAGTTATTATAGTTATATTACCATCTGCGCCGCAGGATATACTTGCCCGTCTCCGTTTCGTTTATGATTTATCTCAGGACGACGCCGGGTAATACGGCTATAGTGAGACAACAAATTGTCATATATATGTTATCAATATGATTTATGATGGGTGGCACTGTATGTAATATGTGCAGTGTATATAATATGTCGAGTTTGACTCGACAGCAGTGTGTTGTTGATGACGTGTCGCAATTAAATGATCGATGGATCCGTGGTGATCAATAATAATTCGAGTACAGTACCTATACTATACCTACGATAACGTTACAATATGTAGGTATCCTATTCCAACAGTATTATAGGTATATATATATAAATGAGACGACTGTATCTATCGTAAAACGTACGTCATTATATTGCGTACCTGTCGCAATGTTACATTGTACGGCGTAAAACAACTGCTCCTAGTTATCACT